AAGGAGGAAACGACAATATCTTTGAACTAAAGAAGTTGTTGCCGATAACTATACAGATTTTATATGGACGGCTGAGGGAAGAGGACAAGTATACAATAAATAAATAAATAAAGAAAAACCTACGTTCAAAGGTTATTTTTAAGTAAAAGGACCCAAATATTACCATGAAGAAAAACTATCTACACATGCTATTTGGACGGACCCCATGCCATATTTACATAAATTGAATTCATTACAATATTCATAAAAAAAGAACTTTCATAGTTATAAACCTTTCATTTAAGATAAGATAATGCTACTCCTTTTATATATAATTGTATGGATGTTGCTACACAAAATTAAAAAAATCAACTTATGGCAAAATTAGATGAAATATCAATGGAATAACGTAGTAGCTTAGAATCTGTTAGGATCTATTAGCTATTAATAGTTAGCTAGCTAATATTAGCTACTATTAGCTAGTTTGATCTAATTACTGAAATAATTATTTGTTAGATATTCAGTTAACAATTAGCTAAACTATTAGCTAGACCTGTTTGATCCAAGTAACTAATTATTAACGGCTAACTACTATCTCTGTGGATCAAACAGTGCCAGCGGCGACGACGCAGACCGCTATCCGTCTGGCCAGACCACCCTGCATTGGGAATTACCGGCACTCACGGTCAGAGAGAACAGTCTATACGAGCCGTGCCAAGCCATATTCTGAAGTCAAAGGGCGTCCCCGTATCGGTCGTCCAACCGCATCGCCGTGCACAACTCCTGATTTGGTTAACTAGCCAAATCCAAATCGTTGGTCACTGGAGCTCAGAAAATTAGGGCGTCCAGTTGATCGATCGGAGCCGGGCGCGCGTGCAGAGAGACTGGTGGTGGATTTTGTGGAGTGGTGCGTCCATCACATCGAGGTCGAGATTGTTGGTGGATTTTGTGGAGGACAAGGGAGAACGGACATGGAGACGCAGTGCAGGACCGGACCGGCCGGCCGGAGGGTGCGCGCGAGAAGCTAACGCCTCTCAGAATGGTTATTTAGACCAAATCCCAGGTTGTTGTGCGCGAGAGGATAAAAGAATCGCGAGTGATCAAAGTGAGGAGGTCGAATCTGATTTCGACGAACACGTCAGGACAACAGGCCTTCCGCCATGCACATCGTCGCTCTACTTGTTTATCATTTTGACTGCATTGACCATATTCATCTACACATACGTCCGTCTGATTTTATTGACTGTATATATTGACCCTAAATAAAATTGATTGTCCTGCAGATCAGGTTATGCAGACGTACATATATATTTCAGGAGATCCCTACGTTTGTGAAATCTACTACGTTCACTATCTATTGGGGCAGGAATATGCATGGTGCAGTAATTATTATTGCCACCAGATGCATGGATCTTGTTATGATCTTTCAGGGTATCCCACATGAGGCAGCTATAATGATCCATACTTACTACTATAAGCCCATGCATTTAAGCTCCACAAATTCCAATTTGCTTTACTTTTGATGATGCCCTGTCGGAGACAAAGTAGTCCTATAGCTAATCAAGCAGAGTACGTGACCCCTCACAACGTAGGATTAGGATACCGACCAAATAAATACACCATATATATATAACAAATCATCCAAAGCAGGCCACGATAATTATTATCCCCCCCAAAACAGCTTTACCCGGAGGAGCCGGTTCATGCTCGCATGCACGGGCACGAGCCTTCAACACACGCACACCTGTGCTGTGCATGATAAAAAGGATCTCCTCCATGCATGCATGCACGTCAATCACTTTTGCCACGAAAAGACGCACACGTAAACGATTCGGCGAGCTAGGCCGATCAGGAGGAGGAACCAATCATGGCATGGCCCCCGTCGCGCGTCGCGTCCTCCGCCCAATCCAAATCCATCCATTCGTCACGCGAGACAGGATTGCGCGATCGCGAGTTAACTAATATAATCCCCGGCTCGATCGGCGGCACGTTAGCAATCACGACGTCCTTCTTTGGAGCTGGACCACGCTGAGGCCGGCCGGCCGCGCCGGGGCGATCCGATCCTCCGGCTAGCCGAAGGGTCCAAATTAAGATCCCTCGACGACGACGCGACCCGGCCGGCCGCGCCCGCGCCCGCGCGCCTATTCCTCGGGAATTGGCTCCCACGCAGCACGGATTTTCCGTGCACGGCGCGCTCGGGAACGCCCAAAGGCCGTAAAGCCGGCACGGCCGGCGCCACGACCGACGCGCCCGCCCACGACTGGACTGCATGCCTGCCCATGGAGCAAGCTACTAGCAGGGCCGCGCGCGACGCCATGGGGGAGGCCGGGCATTCCACACCACACCGTAGACGACCGGCGGTGCGGCGCCCCGGCATTATTCAAACGGCACGTCACACGGCAGCTTCCCGCTGATGAGCCGGCCGTGACAGCCCGGGCTTAAAAAAACGCGGCAAAGCAAAAGGAATGAGGTGGTGCTGCCGCCGCTTTCTGGAGCGGCCGCTCGCGATCTCATTCCGACTGCCCGCCCCTGCCGCGGCCGGCCCGTGTGGCCCTATCATTGGTATCTGCCGAGCGACGCCCCAAAAGCATGACATCCGCCTCAGCTTTTCAGGAGCTCAGCCCCATGGTCGTCGAAAAGCCCCATCTCCCGCGGACTTAACGGGTGTGAGTGTGACTGTCTGTGACCCAATCAAGCTACTACTACGAACCTCTAAGCTCTACTAGAGTGCGCGCACTCCGAACAAGCCGGATCACGAGCGGCGAGTGACGAGAGCTGCTCTTGTTTGTCCGGCGCATGCATGAGACTATGAGAGGACTGTTTTGCCTTGCTTAGCCTTGTACGTACGGTCTCCTAGCTGGTTGTTGTTGGAACGTGACATGATGCTGCTGTGCCACGCCTTTTTGAGCTGGCGCTGATGAGAGTTTGTGCAAATTAAAGCAACTAGTAGTAGCTAGCAGACGACAGGAATTCGGCCGGATCGAGTGTCATGCACGTACGGCGCTCGCGTTTTTGCCTTAACTTGCATGCACGTCGTCGTGATGATTGGGCATGTTCCGTAGGCGCGTGGCTGTCGCCGTGTGAAAAACAAGCGGCCGGGTGGTGCAGGCGGCTATCGATCGATCGCAGGCAGGCCAGGCAGCGGCTACTACTCACATGCTCAACAGTGTAGTTGCCTCACCAATGGAATTGCCGTGGTACTGCCTACAGTTAGCTGGTGAGAACAGGATCGGGAGACATATATAGCTGGAACGGATAGATAGGCGCTGGTTGACAGAACACAAAAGGCCATGCAACATGTTACCCGCCCTGACATCTCTTTTGAATCCCATGCATGCACGACTTATATCACACTAATTTTGGCAAGCATGCATGCACTGACAACTTTGACTCCAAGTCGGATCCCCAACCCAACGCATGCATGGGTGGAGATTTTTTTTTTGAGACGTGCATGGGTGGAGAAATTGAAACCTCCAGCAGCTACCAATAGTTAACTCGCTTGCAAATACAAACTCACTACTATACAAGTGATAAACAAGAGAGCGAGGTGATTATATTTTTCTGTGAAACTGGCATGCATCTTGGCAATCGGTGTAGTTTGCAGCGGGAGAGATGCAGGATCTCTGTCTTTTTGCCGCTTAACTTGTTCAGAGAAGCTATATACTCGTCAAGAGATAGATGTTAGCACGCCGCGCCGCGCCGGCCGTTTATTCAAAGCGCAAGAAGTAGAGACCAGCCGGCCGGCCGGCCGAGCGAACTCCGAAACGGTGGGACACCTGTTCTTGGGACGCGTCTTCGCAAGAGAGCTATGGTTCTCGCTGCTGTCGCCAATCGGCTTGGCTATGCTCGTGCCGGAATATGACGAAGAGATCGGAGAATGGTGGCTCTGCGCCAGCGCCAACGTCAAAACTCATCCGCTCGACCGATCTTCGATTCCATGTTCCTGCTCGTCGCTTGGAACTTATGGAAAGAAAGGAACAGCGTGACCTTTGGGAGAGCAGCAGCCACGGATGTCACGGCACTACGGCAAGCAGTCGCGCGGGAGGCTGAAGACTGGGTCGCGGCGGGGTTCACGTCTCTCGCGGTCCCTTCGTCAACTTGGTCGCCGCAATCAGGGCCAATGTAACAACGACTCACATGTCCAGTAGTTAGGTTGTAGTCGCTCGATGTTGGCTTCTCGCCACTATCAAGGATTGCTCTGTAACACTTGGTTACTATCCTCTTAATGAAAAACGGGTTGAACACCCAATCGAGAGAGAAAAAAAAAAAGCGAACTCCTAAACCAGATCGCCGATTGCCCGTGCGCCGTGAGCTAGGGGAGCCGGCCTGCTGGTCCTCGCCGCGATCGATTCCCTTCGACTAGGTCGCGACCCATGCAAGGAGCCAGAGATCACCATGGGACGCCACGCCGCGCACCCCAAATCAGCACCCGCCACCTCGGCATCATTAGATTAGAATACTCTCATGGACTCTCTCGGCAAACAGGGCTCATTCTAAGACATGGTGCTACGCGACAGGACGGCACTTAGATTTGCATGCATGGGCGACCAAAACCGCATTATCAATCGCGCTTAAGGATGTCGAGAGCGTTTTGCTAAACAGTGGCAGCTTTTGCGCATGTCTCCCTCCCCACCTCGCGCGCTCTTCTCTTCTCGCACAGTTCGAGAAAGGAAAGGAAAACAAAAGGAAAGCACCGAGACCTTCGAATCCGCTACAGCCATTGCCACGACCACGGCCTCGGCACTGCCCCTTGCGCCGGTTATATAAGTACCCCCTCTGCGCATCTATTGATTTCAGCATTTCCTCTGACCAGAAGAAGATCCCGGAAGCAACCAAATCAGAAGCAGAAGCTAGCTAGCTAGTAGTTTGCATTAGCACGCAGTTAGCGCAGCTTCTTGCATTCGTTCATCGATCTTTCATAAACCACACACATATAGCTTAAGCAAATCCGATCTTACACTACAAGCTACACTACGATCGCTATATCTATCTATAGGTCGTGGAGTGATTGATCGACGATCATGGAGGCGCTGAGCGGGCGGGTCGGCGTCAAGTGCGGGCGGTGGAACCCTACGGCGGAGCAGGTGAAGGTCCTGACGGAGCTCTTCTGCGCGGGGCTGCGCACGCCCAGCACGGAGCAGATCCAGCGCATCTCCACCCACCTCAGCGCCTTCGGCAAGGTGGAGAGCAAGAACGTCTTCTACTGGTTCCAGAACCACAAGGCCCGCGAGCGCCACCACCACAAGAAGCGCCGCCGCGGCGCGTGCTCCCCCGACAGCGGCAGCGGCAGCAACGAGGAAGACGGCCGTGCTGCCGCCTCGCAAGACGCCGAGGCCGACCTCGTGCTGCAGCCGCCAGAGAGCAAGCGGGAGGCCAGAAGCTACGGCCACCATCACCGGCTCGCCGTGACATGTAAGCATGCAGCACACACACATCGTCGTTACTAGCTAGCGAACGTATATGTATTGGCCGGTGTCCCGGAGATGAACTAACTGATCGGTCGGGTTGCCGTGCTCCGTGCATGCAGGCTACGTCAGGGACGTGGTGGAGCAGCAGGAGGCGATGTGGGAGCGGCCGACGAGGGAGGTGGAGACGCTGGAGCTCTTCCCCCTCAAGTCGTACGTCGACCTCGAGGCGGCGGAGAAGGTGGGCCGGTACGTCAGGGGCAGCGCCCCCAGGGAGCAGTGCAGGGAGTTCTCCTTCTTCGACGTCTCCGCCGGCGGCCGGGATCCGCCGCTTGAGCTCAGGCTCTGCAGCTTCGGTCCCTAGATCGGCCATCGGCGCATGCATGCACGCACGTACTGGCTGCATGTTGCGGGGCTGCGACTGTGGCCTTGTCGCACGCATCATTGTGTAGTCCTTGGTTCTAGTAGCTAATACCGACATGAAAAGATGTGTGAGATGAAATACGGCATAAGCTGTACGTACGCTCTACCAACGACGTTGCATGAAGAATCTGAGAGGATCAGGGAAAGAGCATGCAGCTGAGATTTCAGCTGCCTTTTCGTTGATCTTTTCATCATGAGAGATGTACTGCGTGCCACTTCTTTCGTTCATTTCTTGTGGTGCCTCCATGGCATGCTAAAATTAATTAACCTTGTGCTCACTACTGATGACATATCTAAATACCGTAGTCATTTTCATATTTATTTATATTCATTCATGCATATATATACCTACGCATGGTAATTCCTGTAACGTGTAGTCTGTTTCGATCGGTCTAGCCCTAATCTATTGCATAAGCTCTGAGCGTCTTTGACCCTTCTATGAACTTGACTGCTTTGTTTTATATGTTTGTGTGGCTTGTGATCTGTGATTCACGCATGAATATACTTGCGTTAGGTGGGAACTAAAGACGCGTGCAGTAGGAACACAGTAGGCTTTTACAGGATGCATTGGATTCAAACTGTCGTGCTACGGCCACCCAATTTTTAACCGTGAGCTCGTGGTACCGTGAGTGCTCGCTGTTGCTGGCTCTATCATCATAAGAAAATACTTCTGACTTGTTCACAGCATGTGATAGTCAACCACCACCCGCTTGCCTCTAGGAAATTGTTGGCTATATAATCAGTTTGCTTTGGATGTTGTCGTTGGACATGGAGTTTCAAAGCTTGCAGCTAACTTTTCTGCAATCTGGGCCATGCTCTCTTGTTTGTTGACTCTTTTCACACTGACTACTGGTCACTTAATCTGCATGCCAACAGTGAACATACTGGTACTGTTGTACCACATTCCATGTGCAGCTTTGCAGGTTTCAAACTATGCAAAAAGAAACATTCGATTTGCCTGACGGACTCACCGGCCTAAAAGGAGAAGTACACTAGTGTTGCAGAATGTTTGGTAGTAAACTGTACTAACGTTGAAAAAAAAGGTACTAGTGTTGAAAAATGTTTGGTTAACAAATTTATTTGTAAATAAGTCATGTACTTTCCGTTTTACAATTACAGTTTTCTAAAATTTAGTATGTTTTTATTCGGATTATTTGCAAATTAATTTGGCACTCCACTTAATTTTCTATATGTAGCAATTGCAATTTTGAAGATCAACTAAACAACTATATAGAATAATAACAGATGAGAAACGCGCGCTTGCAAAAGGAAGAGAAAGAGGGTGTACTAGATAAGAAATCAACTTTCAAAGGAAAAGGAGGAGGCCAGGATTTTTTTTATCAGAAGGAAGGCCAGGATTTGGATAAGGAAAAGTCAGCCAGGATTTGGATAAGGACATGCAACTGGAAAAGTCAAATCAAAAAACTAAAGGAGACGAACGCTTTTGAGCCTAATTAGTCAACGATTAGATGGAGGAAGGAAATGGAGGAAGCCTGTACTAATCAGAGCCCATCATTTCAGTTTGGAAGGGCTGGAAATAAATGGGCTCGTAGGCTTGTCGCGGGAACATAATGCTGGGGAATAATGATGGCTCGTACGCTTGTCGTAGGAACATAATGCTTACTGGGCTCGTCTGTGTTGTAGCCCAGATCGGCCCAGCGACCCAACAGGTTGAAAGCACGGACGAAATACGAGAAGACGGTTAGAATTTTATTTTATTTTTCTTGAGAAAACAAATGGAATAAACGTGGACATCCACGTAATCCGTGTGAACGCGAGCCAGCTTTCTAATAGTTAATTAAAAAACAATTGGTAAATCAATGAGGTTTTCTAAGTGGCTAAAAAATGTTAGGAGCATTTTTATTGTGTTCTCCAATCATTTTTAAAATCTCCAATCATTTTCAAAATCTAGATAAAGAAGATAATTTTTCATCAAGAACCATAGACTATTTTCAAATATATCCAAACCACGCTTGTACTTTTTTTTCCGTACATTTGCATCCAGAACCTTAAACCTTGTTTTTAGTCCTTATTGGCTCATTGATACGTGTTGAAAATAATAGCAATTTAGTGACGCATAAATTAATTCTAATATTGAGAAAAAACAACAGCATATATCATAGGTGTGTCAATTAACACTAGCACTACGATCCGAGGCAAACTCAAACTCTGTAATGCTAGTAACAGAAGGAACGCAAGAATCGAACAACAGAGTAAGTGTAGGCATCATTATTACGGTGGGGTTATCGGTGCTAGAGATAGCGCAATAGTAGACGAAGTAGACCGTCGATGGAAATCCTCGAATACCGGCATAGAGGGAAGAAAACGTTCAGCAAGCAATCACGACAACCCTTCTCAATAACCTGATACGCCCCTACCTTGTGCAGGGACACGAGGGGACGTATGATTCAGAGATATGCTCTCCCGGCGCCGATGACACGTCGGCGACAAGATAGGGAAGACGGCGGCGGCACAACATAGTGATAAGAGGAGTAGATGAGTTATTTGTACCGACGACGACTTCTCGTTTCAATATATACACACACCACAGCAATGATAAGTAATTAGCTATCGTAACATTAAGGTGATTGACCTGCCACTAGAGCAATTTTCTAACAATAGGCCAGCGCATGTATGAGTGGGGCTTTGGATTTATTTGAAATCTCTACAAGACGAAATCTACACCATGGTATCTAGCTTATTTTTCTAACACGTGTCCTACAAGACAAATCTGGCACCTCACTTTAATGCATCATCAAACCATTCTCTAGAGAGTACAGTACGTGGGGATCTGGCACCTCAATTCAACACATCATCAAACCATTTTTCTAGGTAGTACTAGAACGTACATATTTTTCCCGGTAAGAGAACCTTACATGTATCGTGTTCTGTTCAAATTCTAGAGAACTCTCCAACCTCCACCTGAACACCTTGTTTCATAGGTAGATGGATAGCCATAGTATTAGGAAAAAATCTACTTAACCCCCCATTTTTCATACTTGGTCTACTTTACCCTCAACTATAAAACCGTCTGTTTTACCCCTCTAAACTTTCCAAAACCGTCTATTTTACCCCCCGGACGGTTTTTGACAGCGGTTTTACTACAATAACAGCGGGTTTGCTAAAGTAACTATGGGTTTGAATTTTCTTTTTTTTTTATTTTTTTGGTGAATTTTTGAAAAATCATAGTAAATCATAGAAAAATCATAAAATGAAAAATCTAATTTTATTGGACTCCACATAAATAGATCTACACAGTGAATATATAATACGGTATGCTTTAGTACAAAATTTTTACTGTAGCCTTAAATTAATTGAAAAATCTAATTTTGTCTGTAATTAATTGGAATAATTCATAGCTGCAGCTTCTATGGTCCAATTGTAGTAACATTTTTATGGTACGCTAATTATTGTATGCTTGAACTATAGTAAAATTTTATATTCATTGGACTATGTATAACTTAGTTATAGATAAATTCTAATTAATTAAAAAAAAATTGGATTTTCCAATTAATCTAAAGCTAAAAAAAAATTGTACTAAAGCATACCGTATTATATATTCACTGTGTAGATCTACTCATGTGGAGTCCAATAAAATTAGATTTTTTATTTTATAATTTTTCTATGATTTACTATGATTTTTCAAAAATTCACCGAAAAAAAAAATTCAAACCCACTGTAGCAAACCGCTGTCAAAAACCGCCCGGGGGGTAAAATAGACGGTTTTGGAAAGTTCAGGGGGTAAAACAGACGGTTTAATAGTTGGGGGCGTGAAGTAGACCAAGTATAAAAGGTGGGGGTTAAGTAGACTTTTCCCACAGTATTATATATATAATAAGACAACCGAAGAGAAGTTCCCATCTCTTTATCGATAACTTGAGACATCGCTCACTCGAGTTCTGCCCTCAATCACCATCACCCTTCACAAAACAACGTCAAGACACTAGTTCGGCTGATCAGATATCCGCTTGTTTCAGCTTATTCTCTTTCACAGAATACTATTGAATCATCCGAAATCATCCAAACTCTGATCAGCCGAACGGGCTGACAACGGTGGTGAACACCAACATCAAAAACAAATCGAGGTTCTTCATCAGGGACCGCAAGGTAATAACTCAATTTTTTTTTCATTATCTTCAGTAAAGATCGATTAGTCAGCAATACATATAGCAGCGGCCCTTCCTCATCCTTAGTTTCTCCTGTCTTGATCAGCTAACAGCCCCAATAGACACGGGTCACATTGTCATATAATCCTCATAATCAAAATCAAACAAGCTGATAAAACAATACACTAATGTAAATTCTAACCTGCTTAACAAACTACTTTCTCCATATTATATTTAAGGATGAATTGGATTCTTGCCCTTACAATTTTCAGAAGTTGGAGATTTGCCCTTACAATTCGAGGAATTGGAGATTTGCCCTTCATATTCTTGCCCTCCCTGAGCTTTGCCCTTTTCTACGTATGAAGCCTTCTTGGACCCACTTGCAGCACTTGTATTTCTGTATTGGACCAAAATGCCCCCCTGGACAAGAGGAAAAGGGAGAGGCGAATAGGCTGAAGCCGCATCCATCCATCTCCCGTGCTTTTCGCTTCTCCCTCCCGTGTTCTCTCTCCCTCCCGTCTCTCTCCCTCCTATGTTCTTCCCCTTTCTCCCTCAACAAACCCTAGAACTAGAGAGTGGAGACAACGGGCGATTGGAAGCCGACGCGCGACGATAGGATCTGCGGCTGCGACGAACCCTAACCACCCGTGCGTGTCCAGTGGTGGCGATGGAGGCGCCCTGATGGAGGGACCGGAGTTGGGCGCGCCGATTTGCCGCACTGGTGCGGCAACGATGGAGAACACTGCTCCTAGGTAATCTTTCCTCCTCCTTTCCCTTGTTTAATTGTGGTGACCACAGTTCCCTTGATTTGGTGGAATCGATTAGCTGTGCATGT